ATTCCTCTTATAATGTTTACTTGTGAATGCTCAGCATCATTGGGAGCAACCTTTTCTTAAGCATAGTATACTTTCAATTAACTATCAGTATAAATAAAAGGATGATGTTCTTAAGAATGAAATGAATCTGCAGGTTAATGACATTGGATCCATCCCATAGCAGCTAATTACTTTCCTTGAAAACCTTTTCTTCTACAGCATTCAATAAAGGAAGAAAAAGACTGCAGAAAACAAGCTGAATGAAGGGACATTCATTATCTTTTGCATATATTGATCTTGGACTGGCCAACTTCTTGCCTTTCATATAATTGAGAATAGATTTTTTTTTATATTTTACATTTTTAATTCCATCTTTATTATTTTTATAAATAATTCAACCCAGCCGAGTTGCCAGGGGCTGGTCTTAGTCATGTTATCTGGAGCGAGTTTGAGCCTGTGACCCCTGATGAAGTGGACAAGGCCGTGAGGGCAATGAATGCCGCTACCTGTTTATTGGACCCGTGCCCCTCCTGGCTGGTTTCTGCCAGTAGGGAGGTGACACGAGGCTGGCTCCAGGTGATAATCAATGCCTCCTTGATGGAGGGGTCTTTCCCGCAACCTTTAAAGGAAGCAGTGGTGAGGCCCCTCCTCAAGAAGCCTTCCCTGGACCCAGCTATTTTGAAGAACTTTCGTCCCGTCTCCAACCTCCCTTTTGTGGGGAAGGTTGTAGAGAAGGTAGTGGCGTCCCAACTCTTGCGATCCTTGGAGAAAACTAATTATCTGGACCCTTTTCAGTCTGGTTTCAGGCCCGGCTACGGCACTGAGACTGCTTTGGTCGCACTGACCGATGACCTCTGGCGAGCCCTGGATAGGGGTTATTCCTCTATCCTGGTGCTCCTTGATCTCTCAGCGGCTTTCGATACCATCGACCATGGTATCCTTCTGTGTCGTCTCGGAGAGGTGGGGGTGGGCGGCACCGTATTGCGGTGGTTCTCCTCCTACCTCTCTGACAGGTCGCAGTCGGTGTTGGCGGGCGGACAGAGATCGACCCCTAGGCGCCTCGATTATGGGGTGCCTCAGGGCTCGGTCCTGTCCCCCCTCCTTTTTAACATCTACATGAAACCGCTGGGTGAGATCATTCGGCGACACGGGTGAGGTATCATCAGTATGCGGATGATACCCAATTATATATCTCCACCCCGTGTCCTTTCAGTGAAGCAGTCGACGTGATGTGCCGGTGCCTGGAAGATGTGAGGGTCTGGATGGGGGTGAACAGGCTTAGACTCAACCCTGACAAGACCGAGTGGCTCTGGGTCTTGCCTCCCAAAGGCCAACTGGATGGTCCATCATTAGTCCTGGGGGGGGCAAATTTACCTCCCTCAGTGCAGGCATGCAACTTGGGTGTCCTCCTGGACTCACAGCTAAATTTGGAACAACATCTATCGGCTGTGGCCAGGGGGACCTTTGCACAGGTTCGCCTAGTGCACCAGTTGTGGCCTTATTTGGACTGGGAAGCTTTACTCACAGTCACTCATGCCCTTGTCACCTCAAGACTGGATTACTGTAACGCGCTCTACATGGGGCTACCCTTAAAGGGCGTTCGGAGGCTGCAGTTGGTTCAGAATGCAGCCGCGAGAGCGATTGTGGGCGCGCCAAGGTACGCCCACGTGTCACCTATCCTCCGTGAGCTGCACTGGCTTCCTGTGGGTCTCCGGATGCAATTCAAGGTGTTGGTTATCACCTTTAAAGCCCTTCATGGCATAGGGCCAGGTTACTTACAGGACCGCATTCTGCCGCACAGTTCCCAGAGACCGGTGAGGTCCCATAGATTGGGCCTCCTTCAGGTCCTGTCGGCCAGACAATGTCGGCTGGTGGGCCCTCGGGGAAGGGCCTTTTCTGTGGTGGCTCTGACCTGGTGGAATCAACTTCCCCCCGAGGTTCGAACTACTCCCACCCTGCCGGCCTTTAAGAAAGCCGTTAAAACTCTCCTGTTCCGGCAGGCCTGGGGCTGATGTCCCCGGAGGGGGCCGGGATATGATCGGACTCGTGGTATGACTGTATTATTTTATTGTTTTATGATTGTTTTAACTCTGTACGCCGCCCTGAGTCCTTTGGGATTGGGCGGCATATAAATAAAATTAAATACAAATACAATACCTAATAGTCTTTCCTCCTCCTATTTTCCCCACAACAAAACCCTGTGAGGTGGGTTGGGCTACAAAAAAGTGACTGGCCTAAGGTCATTTCATGACTGAGATAGAACTAGAACTCACAGTCTCCTAGTTTCTAACATGGTGCCTTAACCATTAAACCAAATTGGCTCTCATGAATATCTGGCACTTTATCATTTTTGGCCTTCATGTTTTTATAATGCCATGTAGTAGACTCACCTGATGCTGTAGAACTCAATCACGTCATGTGATGTATTGTGAGGTATCTCGACGTTTTTTGCCTTTGGGGAGCCAGATTGGGCGTGGCCTCTGCGTGACACATCCGGCCCGCAGGCTGCCAGTTTGACACCCCTGCTGTAGAGTAGAAAACAGGAGATATTTCTTGTCCACAAACCTTTGGGTCTTTTCACCTGGCAAAGCTCCTGCTTTGGGGTAGTACCTTGCTTCATCAGTCCTATCACATATTTTCCAGGAAGCATTCTTCCCTAATTCCAGAGCTTGTGTAAGAATTGTCTCTCCCTGTGCTGTCTTTCTGGTGATTAAAGAACACAGAGGCAAAAAAAGAAAGAAATATTATAATGCAGCCTTCATGCAGCTGGAGGATTCAATGCTTCCTTGGGAGAAATAGGAGCTCATAGGATATAACCAAAATTAAACTTTTTTTAAAAAAAAAGGTAAAATATAACAATATTTTAACTTAAAATATTAAAAATGCACACTTTCAATAAGGAAGGAGATAATTACAAAGCTGTTTGGATTATGGAAAAGAGCTCCTTGATTAAAAACAGAAACTATGCAAAAGACGGTGTAATGCTCCCAGTAGATCATAAGATGTTGCTGGTCTTCTACTAATAACTCATTATTGTCCCAAAGCCTCCATTAAACAAGAGATGGGGCAGAGAGTTCCAAATTAATATTACAGTTCAGAAGAGGTTTGAAAGAAAAAGAATGTTCCCATGCATAGCCTAAGGTATGCTGCATAGACAACATCTAACACAGCTTCCTATGTTGTACAAAGAAAGAGAGACTATTTTTCACATTCAGGAAAAAAGAAAAAAAATCTAATGTGAATTCCTGCTAGACTTTTAAATCTTTTTTTTTCTGCAGAAATAATGCTGTCTGAAGCACTTGTTCCACTTTTGTGGAATTTCTCTTTCTCAGATACTCCACTAAATTAATGTTGAGGCTGCTGGGAAGATGGAAGGATGGATCCTTTTTGTTTTCTCAGCATTGTCAGTTTCTGCTTTCACATTTAAAAAGACCTAAGGTTTTCTGGAAATCTGAGAAGTTTATGTTAATTTGACTGTGCGTATGCGACAAAGAACTTCTCTACCTCCTGGAAATGCATATTGCATGTCTGGCTGACTGTGAATAATTGAGTTTGTCTGGCAAGCAAAGAAACTACATGCAGCACCAACTAGTTCATACTTTGCAAGTTCAAGGTATATTACCTTTACATCACTTAAAGCTTTTTCCAGATATAGCTAACCTGGAGCAAGTCTTCTTAGGGCCCCCTCTTCTGATGCTCAGTCAGTAGAGGTGCAGTGAGGGGCTATTGAAAAGTTTTGTTGGACTCTTGACATAAAATAGTCTCCAATCAGGGAAAGGACAGCCCAACAGTGCTTTTTCAAGAAACACATTCAGGGAGAGGACAAGTTTCAGTCACCTGGGTCTTTGGGAGAGAGTTTTGGAAATGATTTTTATTCCTTCTGCCACCTCAGATGTTAAATTGGAGGGTTTCCTTGTTTGTTAGAATTATGATAGTATGTTAATGTGTAATCACCCCAAGGACTATATGTTACTTCGCTACAGTGTAGGAATTCAGTCTTCAAGTTAAGGTTTCCTTACTGTAGGGTTTGAAGTAGAATCCAAAACGAGATAATCTTTTTCTCCTGAATTTCTTCGCACAACAAAATAGTAGAATAATAAGACCTGGAGCAACTGTAATTGATTCCTTCTGATTAGTTTCAGGGGAAAGCCTTTTTTTAAGCAAATTAAATCACAGCATCCCAAAAGACACAACCCCCCCCCCCAAAAAACTACCTACTTTTCATCCAAATTGCTGGCAGATGCTGTGTCACATATTTCCTCTCCACTGTCATATGAATAAGCTTGCCATTAATATCTAATTCATATAGATACTAAACCATAAATCATGGTTTACAAACAGCATTAATAGGGTTCATGCAATTTGTTAATCCAGTTTAAGCAATAGCAATAGAACTTAGACTTATATACCACTTCATAGTACTTTATAGCCCTCTCTAAGTGGTTTACAGAGTCAGCATATTACTCCCAACAATCTGGGTCCTCATTTTACCAGCCTCAAAGGGATGGAAAGCTGAGTCAACCTTGAGCTGGTCAGGATTGAAGGAATCGAACTCCTGGCAGTGAGCAATGAGTTAGCCTGCAATACTGCATTCTAACCACTGTGCTGCCACAGCTCCTAATAAACCATACTGTAGCTTAACATAAAGTATTGATTGTGTTTTTGTTTGCTTATAAGTTGCTCAGAAATATATTTCATAAGTAAATAACACATGAAAGAGACTTCCTTGCAAGAATGAATGTGAACCAACTTTTCAGAGAATGAGGTATGATACGTCTATATGGTGTGTTGGTCCCTTCGTGCTTCCCCACCTGCTCTTGCTTATACATCTGGATGTGTGCATTGGGAAACTGCAGCCAGCCAGAAGCTTTTCATAATAGCTCCAGGCACAGGGCTCTATATTTGGATACACATGATTAGCACAGACTATCATTTGCATATAATTGAAATATGGTAGGTAACAAGTTGAGATAACAGTTTTTTGCTGTTTGATGCTAATTATACTCTTATTTTAATTCTAGAAACCTTGGGAAATCTGGATTAAGAGTTTCTTGTTTGGGACTGGGTGAGTATGTTATGTCTCTGTGTATATTTGTTGTAGATACTGGTTAATTTGCATAACTTTGTTGATATTAATGCCAGATAAATAACTGAATAAAATACAGTGACAATTATTTTTATACAAAATCATACTGATGTTGCATTTCCCTCTTAGACAATCAAAATAGATTTGTGACGGTATTATACCATAGGCATGTCCACTATGTTTGTGTTTCTAGGTGTCACAGTAGTAAGATAAGTTGTTAACTATTTAATGTACTTCTATAGCCTCCAATGAAAAGATTTCACCTGTTTTCCTATGTTGGGAGCTAGGAAGTTTGACCATTTATAGCTTAGATACAACCTGCTGGCTTCTCCATAGGTTGGACTATAATTTTCATTATTCCCAAGCCACCTATATTGATTTGGGAAAGGCAGGCACTATAATTCATCACATGAATACTCTTCAAGAAGAAACACAAAATAAATTGAATAGATAAATGCATTTCAAGGAGTTCCTGAATAAATAACAAATTTAACATTTTGGTAGTCAAACCCATATATATTCAATATTTAATTTGATTTGGGTGCATGCAGAATACTTTATCTGAAATAAAATCAGATTCATACTTCTAAAAAACTGTTCTGTAGGCAGAAATTATCTCCCAAAGGGGGATGTTCCTAAGGGGTACATATCCTCCTTCATTTTTTTAGACCTGTCATCTTCATTTATTTCCAGATTCAGCTGATTCTTTTTTTTCTTGCCACTCAGTATTATAATGCATTGAATATATGATTTGCCTGCAGATTCAAAAGTTGTGACAAAACAAGTCGCAAAAGATTTGAAGAGAAAGAAAAGTTAAGAGAACATTCAAGGCCTATCCCAGCCTTTCTTGTGGTACCTTCAGAATAGGTTGGGGCCACAATTTCCAATGTGGCTTGACTATATTTAACTAGACATTCTAAACGTTTTATTCCCAATAAATATTTGAAGTCCTAGGTTGTGATTTATTCTTTGAACAGTTCAAAGTAACACACCAAGAAAATAGTTTTAAAATTAAATTTCACATTGTAGTAATGTTATTAATGTAGGACAAATATGTATCTGCTCTCCAACAGCCGTAGTATCAACTAAAGCCTCCAATCATCTTAAGTAAATTAAAAGATCCAGTAGCCCAAGAAGAAGTAGTCATCTGCAACATATAGTGTAAGGACTATAAGAGTCATGATGTGGGACAGAAAGGCAGAGGACTAACAGAGTATATCTATGAAGAGCAGCTAGCTGTCAGAAGACACAGTGAAAACTCTTCAGTCTCATAACATATGGACAGATTCAACCAAACTTTTAACTGGGAAACCATGAGCATCCTAGGTGAAGCTAAATCCAAAAACACTAGGGCAGGGGTGTCAAACTACTGGCCCATGAGCCAGACGCGTCATAAGGAAACTGCGCCCACACCATACTGGCAATGGGGAAAAAGTTCTGATATGTCACACGACGTCATGTGATGTCGCGAGTTTGACATGTCTGCACTAGGGGATTCTTGGCAACTAGGTATTCAGACAAATCAATCATTAATAGACAGATTTACACATCATTCAAAAGAGACAATAAAAATAAGCAGGAAGCAATATCAGAATACATATTTTAAGAGCCTACATCAAGATAAACAGGGATTAATATCAGACAAATAATCAAGCAGAAAACCATACCCCAAAAAGGAACTACCAAGAAGAAAACCACACACCCCAAAACCACACCCCCACCAAAACTGGCAGGACAAGCTACTGTATATAAACAGGGAGCAAGCCCCACACTCACTACCAATGATGAAGTTAGTTGGGTAATGAAACATCTGCAAGCAAATAACCAACTCAGAGAGTACCTAGCATAAGTGTTGCCAACTTTGTGTGAGATATGAATGTAACATAGTAAAATTAATTTAAATTCATTCATTGAATTCTTATATGTAAATATGAGGAATGAATGAATAAATGAATGAATGAATTCTTCACAGGAGTTGAGGATCCAGTGTAAGAAACAAGAGTCCAGGCAGAGCAAATTCAGATTTTTTCTTTGTCCATCCCCTTCTTCTGTCAGCTAATATAATCTTTTGCATTTCTATTCAGTTGAACATATTTTATTGTTATATTGTCATTTTTACTCTAACCCATCCTGGGAGGAATTATATTATGGAAGTTGGAGTAAAATCTCTTTCAGCTCAAACTTTCGACTTGACTTCTGATGACTTCATAACTGTCTCCTAGAATTACTGAGAAAACTACACAAATGTGTCCATGTTGTCTCTAGTAGTTTGAGCTTCACTTGAGGGCATTTTTATCATTTTTCATCTTTTACATATAGTAGCTTCCAAGATGAAGATCTTTCAGAGTGCTAATCAAAATTTATCTGTAATGTTTACTTACTGCATTTAAATTATAGATGACTTCGATGATCTTACTTCTAAAATGTGGGGCTGTTTATGCAAACCTTCTCTGATGATGAGGAATCTGGCACAATTTGTGCATCTTACTGTGTTGCTATGAGACGTAAGCACTTCAGAGCTGTGGAAGCCATAGATGACAGCAAAATCTAATAATCAAGTCTGACAGTTCCCAAAGCTTTATAGAACCTGAAATCAGATTTATCTTGAAGAAATTTATCACATAGTTTTGACCAGAATGAGTCAGTCCACCAAATTATTATTGGAACCTGATTGTTCATAATTTATTTATTTATTTATTTGACTTTCTAGCTATTAAGTCAACTCAGAGTAGGTGATAGTCATTATTCTTACTGGGGACTTATAAATTACAGAAAAATTCTTAATTCCTAACACAGAAGCTTCAACTACTTACCACCTAAATCATGGCCCATTTTACCTGAATTTTGCAGAGCTCCCTATCTTTGCTGTTAATGACCACATCTCTGTAACAAGTGGTGCAAATGTCTAATAATCATTTGTTGCCCTCTTTATTATAAGTGGGCAGACTTTTGATCATACCAAATTAAATGAACTATTCTGTTTTGGTATTTGGGAATAAACTAGCTAGCCAATGCTGCATGCACTTGATTTCACTGGACAAAATGGTACGAAAGCTGTCTTTATACTCAATCTTGCTAAGCATAACAGCTCTCCAACACAAAAATGTCTTAGATGCTTTTCACTCTTCTTCATCACCACAAGTGCTTTTCTTTCACAGGCATACACACCTTTTCTGTGTTCTACTCATTGTTCCAGAGAAACCATTAAACATTAAAACATCACAGGGAAAAACATTGCTTGTATCATTTTGATATTTGTAGGTATAAATACACCAGTCAATACCTTTTCTATGGCTTTTATTACTCTACCAAGCAAATCTGTAGTGTATTTCCTAACTGCTGGTTCCTTTACTGTTGAGAATTGATTTTAAAAAGCTGAAAGCCATTCATCCCTTCAATATCTACACTGCCAATTCCTCCCTTCTGCCTTTGGCTAATTATTACTCTAGGCACCCAGATTTCTAGCATCCAAGTTATTTTCTTGTTTCACCTAGCATGCCTTTCTGAGTCTGTACCAGCTTCAATTGTTTTTCAAAATTTACTCAGCCCACAGATTATATATACAATATATATTGGTTTCATGACAGATTACCTTTCATGATGGAATTACTCTATTACCTATGGACATGACTTATATGATTTATATATTTTTACTATTTTTAATTTTTATATACTTTGTTACATTTCAAATTCCTTTAGCTTACTAGAATCCCTAATCAAAATTACCAAGTATTGTGCTGCCTGGGAATTCTTGGAATTGAAGCCCAATATGTGAGGGGAAATTTAGTTTGGGAAAGGCTGTTTTACAAGGATTTTGATGACAAATTTTAAATTTTTGTCTTTGTTGGAAACATTTAAACTAAGACTGAAGTTGACGTATCATGTCAATTCTGATAATCTAGAATTATTACGATAGCTGAAAATTTTGGAGATGATTTATTGGAAAACTTAATTTTCTATTCATAATTTTTAAAGCTTAGTAAATATATTTATTTATAGTTTGTTGTCTTTCTCAATATGTTTGAGATATTGAGCCATTACCACAATATCAGCAGTGGTTCATTATATAAGAAATAATTATTTGTACTTTTTGCTGCCTTTACAAAAGTCCCATCTGGATAGGTAATGCTATTCCATCTTTTAATGTTTTGTTTTTATAAAATACATTTCATTCACATAGGCCAAAATAGGCATTTCTTTTATATAATCCCAAGTTTGGAAATAAAATGCATGGCTGCTTGCCACAAAGTTATTATAAATATTATAATATAATTTTTGTGGTCTTGAATAGTAAGAATCCCCTTGGAAATACTGCAAAAGTGGATCATTAAGGATAAATGTACATATGATCTTCTCCTGACAGCTCTTTGAGCGAGAAATTTAATTGGCTTTTTCTTTCCTTTCAGCTGGTAATAAATTGGAAGCACTGAATGTTTATAGTGGTATCTAAGTCCAAAATGTTTCAGTAACAACATATTTAACAGCAAGCTTCAAAACATTTGATATTTGGGAACCGTTTGCTATACGTGCTGCTCTAAGGAAGCAATGCTTAATCCATTAATGATTCCAAACTAACTCAGTACATTGTTCCCCACCCCCAGATTCTGAGTCATGCACTTTGGGTAGTTAGGCTATAAAAATATGCAGAACATGGGGAGGGAATGAAGTGCAATCTCCCCCCTCCTTTTTTTTCTTTAATAATACTGCTATCATACCCAGCAGTTTGAATCAGTATTATGGTTTCTGCTGAAATCTATGGAGATTCTCAGTCAGCTGGGCCATAGTTATCCCAAAGGTGCTTTTTTCAAGAGGCAACTGGACTTTTTTTTGTTTTTCCTTGAGTATGTTTTGCGTCTCTTCTAATAAGCTTCTTCAGTTCTGAGTGAATGGTGGGGAATGGAAGAATTTATATTCCTTGCATTCTTTCTGAGAGTCGTTGAGGCCACTTGGAGGACCCTGAGGGCAAAGATAAACCTCCA